CGCTCGCGCCCAATTTCCCGCCCTCGCGCCCAGTTTCCCGCGCTGCTCTGTTTCGTTCCCCTCCCGTCTGCTTTTCCCCGCCTTCGTGCTCGCCACCTGTGCTCCGATCGATTAATTAATTCATTTATGTAGCATACACGCACATAGGCGTGTTTGTTTATCTTGCTCGGTTTTAGGACAAAAATGAGCGCGGCTCCCTGCACCCTGTGCGGCCCGGCTGCTCTTCCTCAGGGGCTGTGAACTCGGGAGGGTTGCAGATTAAATGAATTGCAAATTAAATGGGTTGTAATTTAAAGCGTGTGCAAGTTCACGTTAAAGTGCTTGCAAGTCAAAGGGGTTGCAAGTTATGGGGGTTGCAAGTTGCAGAAGTTGGAAGTTTAGGGGTTGCAGGCTGAAGGGTTTGCGTGCCTGGTGGGTCTCACACTCCCATGGGTGCAGCAAGCTTGCGCGCTCACACGGAGCTACGCGTTTGCTTCACCCTGGCTCCAAACACGGACAGACATTGGCTCTGGCCAGCCCGGCTCGTGGGGATCCGTGTTCCCACAGCACCAGAGGGCATGTGGCCATCGCGGATCCAGAATTTGGGAACAGCGCCGGGGGAGCAGAGCTCTTGGGCGCCGGGCTCTGCACTGGCCCCGCATGGCATCACCAAGGCAGCTCTGCCCGTCATCAAGATCCTCCCTTTCCCCTCCGTATTAATTACTAATCAGTCCAGTGACGATTAGCGCCTCCGAGTCTTCACTGATCTGCCCAAGCCAATTAGGAGCCGCCGAGCCCCTCGCTGGCCAGCAGCTCCCAGAAGCCGATTAGGGCATTCCCAGCCTGGCTGGTGCCACGGATCCCCTCAACGCAGGCCAGGAGCAATTAGTTAATTAAAGCCACACCGGGCCCCCTCAGGCCATGCGCCAGCGTGACCCACAGCCGCGGCGCTAAAATTAACCCGCTGTCCCCTCCCAGCTGCCAATATTTACAGGTCTCCCTGTGCACCGGAGCTGGAATTTGGCATAATAACCTGTTTATCGCCTCGGCTCCCAGATGACACCCCAGCATGTGAGCCGGGGGCTTATTTTATCCGTGCCGCATGCCCAGCTCCAGCGGAAGGGGCCCAATGGGCCGCCCTTTCTCTCCCAGTGTTTCTGGGACAGGGTTGTGCAAGCAAGGCCACATGCACCCCAGAATAGTTGCATTAATTAACCCATGGGGCATTAATTGCCACCCAATATTTTCTGCCTTCCCTCCGGTCCTTCTCCTCAATCTGTGCTGCCAGCGTTAGGGAAAGTATTGGGAGCCACAGAGTGGCTTTGGGATGGTGGTTGCGCCGGACACCAGCCCGGACGGGCTCCAAATCCTTGTCACCGCATGGGGAAGCAGCGCACGGCCGGAGCCGCCGCTCGCGTGACTCTGTTTATGGGCTCCAGTTTCTTTGTCCCCGGAGCAGCCGCGCTCCCGGGAAACGACCGCCCGGACAGACCGTCCCGAGCCCTGTTTACGCCGCCTCCCACCCGGCCCTGGGATTGCTCACTCCCGTGTGACAGGTGAAACTCAACCCGGCTCTGATTTGGCTCCACGTGACCCTGGAGCCGCTTATAAATAGCAGCGTGTCCGGAGGCGCTGACAAAAGCCCGCGGCCAAGACACAGGAGCTCAGTGCCCAGGAGGAGCAAGGGACACTTTTTGGCCGAGGAGCCTTTGGCCGGCCCCATGGATTACCAGCCCGGCATCATCCGGGACGGCAACGCCATGGAGAACCTGGAGCGGCAGCTCATCTGCCCCATCTGCCTGGAGATGTTCACCAAGCCCGTGGTGATCCTGCCCTGCCAGCACAACCTGTGCCGCAAATGCGCCAATGACATCTTCCAGGTGAGCACCGGGACGCCACTGTCCCCAGGGATCCCTTGGGCTCCCTCTTGGTCCCCGGCAGAGCGGAGCTTCCCATCGCGGGAGGCTGTTTTGGGCATGGTTGTTGGTGGTGACTGTCCCATGAGACACTACAGCTCAGTGGGACTCCATAGAGATGCCCTTGGGTGTCATGATGCCCTTGATGTCCCCATCTGGGGACGCTGACCCGGCTGTCCTTGCAGGCCGCCAACCCGTACTGGCAGAGCCGGGGCAGCGTCATCTCGGGCGGCCGCTTCCGATGCCCATCGTGCCGCCACGAGGTGCTCCTGGACCGGCACGGCGTCTACGGGCTCCAGAGGAACCTGCTCGTGGAGAACATCATCGACATCTACAAGCAGGAGTGCTCCAGGTGGGCACCTCGTCTGACGGGGTAGCCCAGATCCCACCCTTCGTCCCCTCCCGTCCTCAGCTCCTGGGTTTGGCACATAGAGGTCCCAGCTGGAGATAACGGACGCATGGGACAAATCCCAGCTCCGCTTGAGCTAAAACAGGATGGAGGGAGGTTTTTGGGAGGGGAGATGGAAACAGCTCCAGCTCGTGTTGTGCAGGGGCTGGGGTAAGGGATGAACAGGGGGTCACTCTGAGGGAGAAGGGACCAAAGCTTTTCCCAGGGAGAAGGAAACGGGGAGAGCAACGGGAAAGCAGGGCAGCTCGGGGGGACTGGCTGCCCAGCCCGCTGTGAATATTATCCACCAGCCGTGGGGATGGTGACAGATGTCAGGCGACAAACATCCCCGGCATCACAGCGCCCGCAGGGAAGGCATGCGGCACCCCCACTGCAGGGCGGCTGCAGCCCGACGAGCTCATTGCACCCATGAACGGAGATCCCCCCAGGCTCCTGCTTGAGCATCAGATCAGAAGGGGGGACCCGGCAGGGTGTCACCGTGGCGCGGTTGCTCTCTCCAGCCGGCCCCTGCAGAAGGGCGAGCACCCCATGTGCAAGGAGCACGAGGACGAGCGCATCAACATCTACTGCGTCACCTGCGAGGTGCCCACGTGCTCCATGTGCAAGGTCTTCGGCGCCCACAAGGACTGCGAGGTGGCCCCGCTGCAGAGCGTCTTCCAGGGCCAGAAGGTACCAGCAGCAGCGGCCCGGAGCGCGCGGGGCCAGCGAAGGGGGCGGCAGGCGGGATGTGCTGAGCCGGGACGGTGCAAATACCTCCGGGAGCCGCTCACGGGGTATTAATAGCGGCCGGCCACTTTGCCCAGGAGACAGGCTATCTTTAGCACGCTAGCGGCATTGGGGGAGCCGGGTGGCCTGCGTTGAACCTATTTTTAATCCATCTCCCCCCTCCTCATCTCACGCCTTGGCCAGAGTGAGCTGAACAACTGCATCTCCATGCTGGTGGCCGGCAACGACAGGATCCAGACCATCATCAGCCAGCTGGAGGATTCCCAGCGGAGCACCGAGGTGAGGACACGGCCAGGGGAACCCGAGCAAGCGGCAGGGACACGACCCGAGCCCCGGGGGCCGCAGCGGCGGGAGGATGGAGTGGGTTGAGGTTCCTCATCCCGCGCTCCCGGCAGGAGAACAGCCAAGCGGCCGAGCGGGAGCTGTGTGAGAGGTTCAGCGCCCTGCAGGCCGTCCTGGAGGAGAAGAAGTCGGAGCTGCTGCGCCGCATCGCCAAGGAGCGGGAGGACAAGACGGGCTTCGTGCAGGCCCTGGTCTGCAAGTACAAGGAGCAGCTGGAGAAGTCGTCCCGCCTGGTGGAGACGGCCATCCAGGCCATGGAGGAGACTGGTGGCGCCGCCTTCCTCATGGTGAGGGCCCGGGGGTGCTCCCCACGTGCCGGTGGCCTCGGGGACATCCCTGGGACTGCTGGTCCTGCCAGCAGCTGCTCCCGCTCTGCTCCGCTCATGCCCTCTTCCTCTCTCCCCACAGAATGCCAAGCAGCTCATAAAGACGTAAGTGGCTGAAGCTGGAGAAATCCCTGGATGCTGAAGCGCCGGGGCCCTTTGCGGAGATGAGACCGGATTTGGGGTGGGGGCTTCATTAGCCGGGTGCCTAATGAGCAAGTCTTGGAGGCACCAGGCACGGGAATGGGCTGCATCCAAGGGATGCAAAACACTGGCCTGGTGCTATCATGCCCCAACTTCTCCCAGACACCCCAATATTCCCTCCGGATATCCTCCCCCTGGGCACCCCGATTTCCCCGGGTGTCCCCACTGCCCTCTTTCGGAGGCTCCCAGGGGACACGTCGGGGCTCTCCCTCCCCAGGATCGTGGAGGCCTCCAAGGGCGGCCACCTGGAGAAGATCGAGCAGGGCTTCGAGAACATGGACGGCTTCTCCGTGAACCTGGACCACATCGCCGACGCCGTCCGTGCCTTAGACTTCGAAACAGGTATTTCCGCCCCCAAAACCGCCTTGGGGGTGCCGCAAAGCTCCGTTTCGAGGTGGCCTCCTTGGCATAACCCTGTCTTTCCAATGTTGGTTTGCAGATGAGGAAGAAGACGAGTTCTTTGAGGGGGAGGAAGGAGAGACGGAAGAATCGCCCCCCTCGCCCCTTCCCCCCGCTCCCCA